AACATTTTTTTGAGGTGAAGTTTGAAGAAGAAGAACATGTCTGCCATTTTCCAACTATAACCTAGCCCCGAATAATTTGTGAAGGTATGTACTCTCAGTACATAGCTGAGCTTATGCAAAAGAACCAATTTAAAAAATTTAGTTGCATACAAAATACATGCGAACTGAGTTGGAGTTCTTACAATACTAATTTGGCGTAGTTTCAATCAATTATTGTAATCAGTTTGTGCAATTACAAGTAAGAAACGGTCAGAAATTATTTTAAAAACTTAAAAGACAATTGAGAATTTCGACAATTAATAAAAAATTTAGCACCTGTAGATAGAAACCTCCTATACACAAAGCGTTCTACGCATTAGGAAATTGATTACATATCGCGAATACGTTTAGCATGAAACAGGCAAAGATTGGAAGAGTGGTGACCCTTGATGCAAACTAGAGCGCTACAAATAAATCCGTGAGCGTTAGATATGCGTTACCATGCATACTTTGCGCTGTTTTGTTTCTGTTCGGGCAACTCCCAAACAGCTCCGCAACTCCGTGCATCGTGGGTGCAGGAAGTGGCTTTTGATCAGGTAACTCCCCTAACAGGAGAGTTGATCTCAATATGATCCAAATCCATTTCACCACAGAAAAGTACATCTTGCTCACAAGCGGGTTCATTTAGAAACTAAGCTGTCATGGATTTGGTTCAAAAATCGTTGAAGTGAAAATTCCAAAGAACTTAAGAACAACTTCGACATTAGTCCGTCTCAGAATCCCAGGATTTTTCAATTCGAACATTGTTCAATAGGCTAATGAAATGCTGGATATAAATAACATCACGTTTCGCACGATAGGGATTTGCGTGGTATGTAAGCCCAATTACGAAACCTACATCCACTCCGCACTAGAACGCCTTACTTTGAATCAAGGTAGGCAAACGATGGATTAATATCACCGATCTCCCTGAAAGTGAGATTCGCTTAGGTTGTGCCTATTGCGAAATGGACTTATCGCGCGGAATAATGATTTCCAGTCAGCATTTCAGGTCATCCCATCAAATCGTTTTTAGGCTGGTTTTTCTAACTTGTCCATCGGTCTGCCCACTATAACTTTACACCAAGTCCTATTGTGCCAAACGAATATGATACCCGTAACAGCATTATGTCAGAAAACCCAAGCAAAGTTTTAGCGAATTCCTAAATCTTTGGATTCCAGGGCAATTGTCGAAGTATTTCTTTTTGTTTCCCGAAACTTCCGCTTCACTGACCTCTAAATCGACTTGATTAATGCCAGTTCTACAAGACGAACCATTTTATAGAGTGCAGAATTTTCATTTTTTACAGGATTTATGTGAGATTAAGAAA